TGTGTGTGTGTGTGTGTGTGTGTGTGTGTGTGTGTGTGTGTGTGTGTGTGTGTGAGGGTTAAAACAGGTTCTTTATATTCACAAAGAACTGATCCACTTATTAAACGGACAAACTAAATCTCAGGGTATTCACTGCGTGCTGCCACTGGGCCTGGACTGTGTGCGTCGGCTGCACCGCTTCGACATCTTCCCCATCATCGTCTTCGTGGGCCAGTCTGCACGAAACGCACGCAAACTGAGGTAAACCCCCCGCCGCGGGCTCTCGTGCTCTTAACGAAGGAGCGACGCTGTTTCCAGCTCGTGTGGTCACGGCGTGCGCTGTCGTTGCAGGTCGAAGCTGCAGCGTGACAGCAGCTCCGAGGAGCAGCTGCTGGCCTGTTCGAGGAGGGAGGAGCCGCTGCTGGACAAGCTGCCCTGTTTGTACCGCAGCATGGCTCCGGACTCCTGGTGCGACCAGACGTCTCTGCTGACCAGCCTGAGGACCGTCATCTGGGAGGAGCAGAGGAAGATCGTGTGGCTGGAGCAGGACCCCTGGTGAAGCCGAGGAGACAAAAACCAATTTAAAGACCTTCAAAATGTTTTCACAAGATGAATCAGCTTTACAAGAATGTTTTTGTAAACTCACGTATGTATCTGTGATACTTGTATGTAAATGAATACTTATGTATGCAGCTGTGATGCAGAGATGTTCTTAGAAATATTTTCTACTCTGACATGTGTGGCTCATTTTACAGCTTCACTTTATTATCTGTTATAAAAACTCTTTCAAGTACCTTCATCCTTAAAAACCATTTAATCCTAAAGATACTGTCACTAACAGGATTAAACAACTAATCTGAATAACTTAGTCAGGTTTTAGATTATTTACTGCAAGTATATATTGTATTCTTTTACTGGTTTAAATGCACAATATTTAGATATAATAATAAAAGTGTTTCTATTATAAGAAATCCAAACTAATTAAATTATTTCTGCTGATTTTATTTCCTTTTTCTGCTGAATAGAGATTAAGTCCTGATTATTGATTTTTGTAAATGTTTAAACGATTTTAGATCTTGGAGTTCAGCCTTTTGACCAAATTAACTTTGAATGTATGTTTTTAAAAAGCAAAATAT